AAAACAAAGCACAATAATAATAATAAAGGGCTGTAGCTCAGTGTGAGGGCCCTGGGTTCAACTCTTAGTACCTGTGGCATGAGAGACAGGGGCAGGGAGGGGGGAATACAGAACATTTGGCTTGGTAGAGTGCCTGTAAAGAGTGCTGGGTTCCATTCCCAGCACTGCAAAAAGAAAGAATGTTTGTATCACCCAAACAATTCCCTCCTGTCCCTGCGCACTGAATCCTCCCACCATATCTCAGCCTCAGGCAAGAACAATCTACTCTCTGTCACTATAGATTAGATTTACCTTTCCCAGGGTACCCCAAATGGAATCATACAATTCGGAGCCTTTTAAGACGAACTTCTTTCACTCCTCATGGAATACACTTGCAATTCATTTGTGTCACTGTGCCTGTTAAGAATTCCTTCCACTTGGTACAGTGGTGAACACCTGTAATTCCAGTACTTCGGAGGTCGAGGCAGGAGGATCGCAGATTTGAAGTGCGCGTGAATTGCCTAGCAAGACCCTGTCTCAACACAAATAAGCAAGCAAACAAAAGGAATGCTCTCTCCTTTATTGCTGAGTAGCATTTAACACAGGTGTGTTTTGAAACATGTTTATCTGTTGAGCCACTTGAACAGAATTTGTTTCTGGTTCAGGGCCATCAGGAAAACATCTATGAACATAGCGGAATCAATGGGTTCTGTGTCTCATACACTTTTGCGGGGGGAGGGACAGGCGATGCTGGGGATGGAATTCAAGCCCTTACATGTGCTAGGCAAGGGCTCTACCGGGGTGCTACCTACATCCCAGCCTTACTCATTCTATTTGGCTACTAGACGTGTTACATTTTTTTTATTTTTGTTTTTGTGACATAGTCTCTCTGTATATTCTGGGCCAGCCTTGAACTCACTGTGTAGCCCAGGCTAGCCTCAAACTAGAAGTGATATTCTCGCCTCATTCTCCTGAATGCTAGGATTACAGGCATTCGCCGCCATTCCAGGCTGGATGTGTTTTATGACATGATGTTTTTTGTTTTCTTTCTTTTTAAAATTTTTTTTAATTCTCATCACCTCATTGTATGCATTATTGTTGAGGAAGACGTGTGTGAAAAAGAAGAAAAATTATTAAAAATCCAGACTCTGAAGCCAGGCTGCTGGCGTGATTTTGGAGAAATTATACAACCTCTCTGCACCTCCGTCTGCACATTTCTAAATGGATATGACAATAGTGAGGCAGGAGATTAAGGCATGGCCGGCCGGCTGAGCGGGTGGGTGTGGCCTGTCAGTCTCGTAGACCCAGGATATGTAACCGCGCCCTGTCCCTGGGACCAATCAGAGAATGCTGCCGTGTCTCGGGTTCTTCGTATAAGAACTCAAGTAGGCATCTGATAGGTCAGCCTAAGGCGTGGAGGATACAAAAGACGGCCGCCTTAGAATGCTTAGTCCCTGCGCGTTCTCTTCACTCTGCAGAATGTACATCTTCTACCTTTTATCAGTTCGTGCTTGATCCACAGTGCACATTGCCTTCTCTTGCCTTTAACAAATGGAAAACCACTCCCTTTTGCACCTGTTTTGACCTGTTCTTTGAAAAAAACCTAGAAAGCACTGCTAAAAAACAGACCTCTAGAACCTGGTAGCATATTTTGGTGAAGCCAGAAGGTGTGGCCTTTGGGCAAGGCTTTCCTTTTGTCCTTCTCTGAAATCTATGGACTCAAAATAAGAAGGACTGGTTTCATTTTGTTTTCTTTCTTTTCCTCTTTTCTAACCCCTAGGAAATCCCCAAACCCCTTCTTGTCCCTTCTCTCCCAGTTCATCTGTCAGAGGGCTCAAATCCTTTAACTTTTTCTTTTATGTTGGTTGTCAGAGAGAGGAGAGGGGGAGCTAGAAGGCGATAAAAAATTTACTGGAAGTTGAGGAACTCAGGAAGTTTTTGCATGACTCTGGAACCATGGGGGGGAAGCTTATGGGCTCTGTGCTTTTCTGAACTGATAAGAGGCTCATGGTTCTGCCTCAAGTTTATCTTTGCTTTTCTTTATTCTCTTTCTCTTTCCAGTTTTTGGTCACTCATTGCTGGTGTAAGTCAGTGAAGAGCTACCAGAGAGCCTGTCACTAGGTGTGGGACAGATTGTTCAAATTTCATATGGCAACCTGGAGTTTCCTACACCTCTTGGTCCTCACACACGTGTTCTCCTTGATACTTTGCTCAGCTTTCTAACTGTCTGGAGGAAAATAGCTATTGGCAGCTTGGTTTCCTGCTTGAGTAGTCACCGATGCTGGTTAACCCTTCTCTGTGCAGTATCATCTGTACTGGACCTCTAGTTAGCCTTTTATTTCTGGGTACCCTTAGTTGCTTCCTCAGGGATTTGTTTAATCTAGTACTCCTTTTACCATTTTTTAGCAGCCCTTTCAGGTCCTCATGTCAGTTAGTCACATGGTTCTGCCATGTTTGGTGGCCCTTCTGGTTATCATGTGAGTCAGTCACATGAGCTCACCATATTTGTCAGCCATTTTGGTTGGTCATGTGGGTTAGTCATGTGGTTCTGCCATGTTTGTTCACCATTTTCTTTTTTTCAACTGACCTCATAGATACCAGGAAATTTCCTTCTTATAGATGGGAGCTAATAAAGCCTCCATTTTCTGGTATCATATTGACCACCTCCAAGCT